TTCTCTTATTTTCAGATCAGAGCATGGAATTCTTCCGTTCCTGACTGGTTATTAATCCGTTCAGGCCCAATTCAGCTCTATTACGTACCCTTTGTTATGATTCCGTTCAGTCCAGAGGTAGCTGTATTCCGACCCATTTACTGATCAGAATACCCCAGTACTTACTGAGGTGACCGGGTGCTGAGGCTGGCAGTGAAGGCAGATCTGACGGGTTTGTGCTTGAAAACTAGTGTTGGCCGTACCCTCCACCATCCGGGCCAGTTAGTTCCACAAATGCAGAGCTCTTCCTTCCGGTGTTTCGCCTACACTTCGACTCCGTCTGCCAGCCGAGTGCCAGCCGAGTGTCTTGCTTCAAGACCAAGCAGCAACGAGCTCGTGTCAACAGGACTGACTTAATGCTCAAGGGAGTCGGATGTTTGTTCAGCGGCAAAACAGGCCCTGTGTTTGTGCACGTTTGATGTAGTTCTCGCCGGCATTTTTGCTGTCATGCCAGATTCCAAACTTGCGCCTCATCATCATGGTGCGCGAGCCGGTTGAGTGGCTGGAGCGAAGCCCTTAGAGCGGCCAAATGCCAGATATCTGCTGAATTCTGCGTACAAGTGGCAGCCAGATGCTTGCAGTTGCGCGTGCAAGTGAGGTCGCTTTACAACCTTCGGAAGTTTTTCCTGTGCCTGGGCATGCTGACAGCAAGCACACGTGCAAGTCTGCTTTGCACGAAGTCAGCTCTGCATCGTTGCCGGTCCGCCACGCGTGCAGGTGCCAAAAGCCTGAGACGTGCGCCGAAGTTCCCTCCCTGCAGGCAATAGACAACAACTCCCGAGAGGGTCCTGTGTAGCGCCTCTCCCTGAACTGTGCTCCCCAAACAATCCTTAAGTGCAAGCTTGTCAAAGTTATGGGTGACTGTTCCGCGACGCTTCTTGTTGGAATTTTGTGACTTGAGGTTAGATGAGGTGCTGCTAACTCCGAGAACTCCACGAACTCCACATACAATCCCTGGATTGTTCCAATGCAATCCTAAGAACATCCCCAGCAGCTTCCTTTGTTTTCCTCAACGCTTCAGGATGTGGTGCTGAATGGCGCAACCTTTGAGGACGTCCGTGCCGAGGAGTGCCCGGAAGTTGAATTAAGGGTTTAGGGGGTTTCTGTTTCCAGAAGTCCAATGCCAATACCCTTGATTCAGGAATCTGGTTTTCCCCAAAATCAAGGGTACCTCCTTGGGGGTCCCAAAAAAAGGGATCAGAACGTTTGGGGGTCTATATTGGGGTCCCCTATTTAAGGAACATGTCAGCATTCCTGTGTAGATTCCTGGATTTAGCGAGGTCTCTCTGGGCCCAGGCTGAGGAAAGACTTCGCTTTCGGCACATTGTTGCGTATACGGCAGATGTCAAAAAAAGTGGGTTTTCAACTTTGGGCAGGGATTTAAACAAAAAAAACACCACACAATCGTTCTGCTAGGATTGATTTGGGAGTTGAGTTACTCGTATGTTTTAGCTGAACCGACGGCTGCCAACTCACAACTTCTCGCCGCGGCGAAGCCGGCAAGTTGCTTTGCATTTTTGTCCGCAGTTTTCGCCGGTGCTCGTGTCAGTGCCTTTTCGTTTTTAGTACACTGCTTGCTCAAGCCTGTAATCATTACCATGACATGACACTCCATACATGACACGCATGACACTTCGACAAGTATGTTCTGTCCGTTCAGGAAGTAAGATGGAAGTCTCAATGGTACAAGTGTGTTAGCTCTCGCACGGAAAAGGTGGTAGAGCTAAGACTGCCAGAGAAAGAGCCAGCTGAGCACTCAAGCCATAGAGTCAAACAGCAATGATAGAAGGGGGGGATTGGGATCAATCTTGCCTGAATTTCGGGGGGCCGGGGGGTGCACAAATAGGGCGTCCCCAACATGGACCCCAGAAGACGGGTAGGTTTAATTTCTTTGAAAAATCAATTACCCTTAACCCCCAATGTAATCCAAAGCCATAAGAAACACTTTTATTCCTACTAGAAAATCTGATAATCCTCACTATGAGGACCCCCCACAAAGGGAACCCTTTTTCAAGAAGCCACCAATTACTTAATCATACTCTTTGCACACTTACCTGCTTGAGCCCCGAAGGATGCGCTCCTGTCGAGGTCCTTGGAGCAAGTTGCCCGGGCCCAATGTAAGAGTTTGTCGTGCTGGTTATTCACCCAAACCTGATACGAAAGTAATGCGGGTCTATGAAAATGAGTTGCCTTCATTTGGAAGAAGTGATTGTCACTGGGTGACTTCCCTATCTGCATTTGGCAGTTTCCCTAAACAAGGGGATTCCAATGTAGACACACATGCTATAATCCTTGGTAGGGACCCCCAAAAAGTTACCAGGCGCCCCTCATTTTGGGAAACCCCCATGTATCCTACAGCGCCAGCGATCTCAGGTGAAGTTCTTCCCGCCAGCAGCTGGAAAATCTTTGCTGCTTGAGCTCGGAGCCGAGATTCGGTAAAGTTACGGTTTAGGTTAGGGGGAACGGGTTAAGCAGGGGCCTAAATTGCAGGGACATATGGGGATATTACATGGAAACTACAATGTAAGGTGTAGGGGTATAGGGATACATCGGACATGAAATGCGAAGGAGAATGGAAAATCACATTGAAGCCAGGTTTGTGGAAGGTGTATAGGGATAACTTGCCAAGCGTTTAGGCGAGTAAAAGGCTCAAGATACAACCAGGTAATATCCCATCGTACCATCATGGAAAACGTTATTTACCTAGCGAAGGTTTGGAGGGTAAGCTAGGTAGAGATGCTGTCGGGTGCATGGTTGCGCTTGCTGCATGATTATGGATAGTAGTTTCCATAAATGGGGTGACCCTGATATAGATCCCCAACTATTCTAATCCTCTGTATAGGGACGTAACAGGAGCCTGTGATTTTGGGAAACCCTCAGATATTGTAAAGTGATCAAGCAGAAGGCATCATTGTTGCGGGATGCTCGAACCTCAGCAAAGAATATGAATAGTGCCATGGTGGAAGGCGCAAGTTCAACCTCGGTTCTGAGGACTAGACCAACTCCAACCTGTTGGTAGGCCTGGATGAAGATCAGCACAAAGACTCGCATAGAATAGGGCTTGAAGACCTCTAGGATAATTCAGCAGCCCATGGTGGTGTTGCGCTGCTCCTTGGGCTTGGCGCGGCACAATGCAGGGCACGCAGCGGAAGCAATTTTGAGGACAGGCCACCTTCTGGCCCTCAGGCGTTCCAGCCAGGCCTTGAATACCACGTCCTGGCGCAAACAGACGACGGCCTTCACGCAGTGACAGATGCGGCACCCGGTGCAGTGGACGCTCTGCAAGGTCTACAGGATCCTTGTTGGCCCACTGCCCTTCAAGACCTCCATCTTGGCTTGGTTTCGGCACCAGATACGCTTGCCCAGGCCTCCTTGCAGCAAACCAGTTGGAAGGAGGAGTTGATCCACACAGTTCTGCTCGTGAAGAAATGGCAGTGGTTGATGGCAGAGGCTTGGAGCCTACTGCCCTGGCTGCAGTGCTTTGGCTGCAATTTTCACCGAGGGCATGCTGTCACAGTAGTGGAGACCTTGGTAGACATTTTTTACATATGGAGCTGCCTTTGGGAGAAAAAGAGGCAGAAAATGGGAGGATGCCCTGAGGAAGTCCTCTACTGCTACATTCTAGGCCTAAGTTCCCTCGGCTTCTACAACCAGGACACAGTCAGGATGCTACTGGATAAGGGGATGGAGTATGCCAATGCCGATCTGGAGACTGCCGTCCAGATGGGATATCTGGTTGAGGCTGCGCTGCGGACGCCGGAAAATGTCAAGGAGCTGGGCCTGGACGAGGAGACACTGCACTGCATGCAAAGCCGGCTGAATGAGGTGATCTCCCAGTTTCCAGAGGCGGCCATCATGTTTCCAGTGATTCCTACAGGCGGAATGCTTGCCTCTGCAGAAACTTGGGAGTTCCAAGCGTGGCTGGAAAGCTTGCCTTCCGACCAGCCAGATGAGGTTACCATGTGGCTTCTGAGTCATTTCCCAACGTTGGATTTCAGGGGCAGAGAATTCATCAAGAAGCGCGTGCGCAAATTCAGGTCGCAGCAACAAAAGTCCAACGAGCAGGAAAGCGACCTCCAGCTGGCCAACCCGAGTACCTTTTCACAAAATATTAGCATCCTGCACAGGTCTGCAAAGCCAAAGGTCTAAATCCGCAAACTTTCGGGAAAATGTGCTGGCGAAGCACAAAGTGTGCTTGAAGACCTGCAAAGCAGGCAGGTTAGAGCCAGAGTTACAGGCCTGACACGGCTAGTTGATTGAGAGGTCTAGCTTGGGAGGACCCCCCCTGCAATAGTGACTATAAGGGATAGTAGGGATTATTATACTAGGGTCCTACTATATTCCTACAATACCGCTACTAAAGGGTGGGGGGTCCTCCTAAGATCTAGCGCAGAATTGCAGCATGCAGCCCTTGCATTGAACAAGCGTTGGCCCTGGGCTACCCTGTTTGACCCATCTTGCTCACAAACTTTGTGGAGCATTCGTTGCTTGCCTGCCATAGACAAGTCATCGCATGGTGTGCACCCAAAACAGTTCTAGCTAATGCATCAATCCTGCGAAGATGGGTGGTGCAATTGCTAATGAGTTCGCAGCAGCGTCATGCTTCTATGCCCAGGTTCGAGCTTCTGCGTAGTCGTCCGCGGGAGCTCTATGACTTCATCACGAGATTCCTGGGATAGGGCCTCACAGTTGCAAGACCATATCTGCCAAACTTGAGAAAAGATTGCGGAGGCATAGAGCCCTTCTCTCAAGACTTCGAGTTCAAGCGGCACGCAGTAGAAGACCGGCCGAGGCCAAACACTTTCATATGAGTGAAGGCAACTGTTGGCTGCTTTATCACACTATTGTTGGCGGCTCATGTTAGCATCGGCCCATGCCATGGCTTGCATTTCTTTATGTTACAGCTTGTGCTCAAACGCGTCCTTGTGGAGCCCGATGCCGGTTCCTGCGGGTGGCCAGCGATGCTCCCAGCCCTTGGAAGCTCAAGAAGTACCGCGCTCGGCCGGATAGAGCAACAATTTGCCGTAAGCTGCACTTTTACGCTGCAAGGCCATTCCGGTGGTGAGAATGCTTTGCAGCAGACTGCAAGCATGCAGGGTCGATCCCCAGAGTCGCGACTGCTTCGCGCGATGAGTGGCGAAAGCCACCCAGATGCTGAGGACCTTGCTGCGACGGAAAGCTCTTTTTGCTGCATATGCTCAACATGCATCGCATGCTCACAAGCCGAGGAGGCAAGATGTGCAGAAGTATCCGCGTCACAACCCGAGTTAAGAAACGCAGAGGTGAGAAAATCTAGCCTGGCCTGCTCTGAGGTGGTATCTGACCGGGATGAACCTTGGCTGAAAAGCTTTGAGGCCGCACGGCTGACAAGCCTTGCATCAGATCTTAGGAGCGGCTGGTGGAGTTTGAACATCATCACTGCGGCTTGGTGGCAATTGCTTGCAGCAAGTGGCAGGGGCAATGAGAGTAGTAAGGGTGATGCTGCTGGTGCTTAGACAGGCCGAGCTTCCGTTCTTCGTGGCAGAGTTGCCTGAGGGGAAGCGCTTGGGAAACCTCATCGCGGTCTGCACACAGATCGGTCCCTGATGGCTTGTTTCAGTGCTTGTTGGACTTTGGAATTCTTTCGTACACTTGGCCGCGAATTTAATTGAGGGCGGCCGTGCACAAATTTCTTGTCCCAAATGCACAAGTTTCGTTCCCCAAACATGTCTCCTTGGGCCTGTACTTCCTTCCCTCTGACTTTTCGGGAAGTTGCTAGCCTGAGAGGTATCAATTCTTACGCCAGGCAACATAGCCCCAATCTTCTACAAAGCTCTGACGAGAAGACGGCCTGGCAACCTTGTTTGCGCGATCGGCTTCTTTCAAGCAGTCGCCGCCGAGACCTCGGGGGGAAAGCACGTAAATGGCCAGGGATTGCCTCAGGATCAGACGTGCTGGCTCAAAGTGTCATTAAGGGTTGGAAGGAGATTCTTGGAGGCAAAGCCTTCAAGGTCTTATGTAACATGAGGTGTTCGCCTTGGTGGCCTGCACGGCTTTGTGGAGATCGACACCGATCCTCCTCATCTGCACCGTGCTGGCAGGAAGTGTAGGCGCGGCCCCCAGCATTTCCATTGCCAGAAGGCTGCCAGAGCCTGTTTGCTAGGCTGCATGAGCAGCGTCACATATTGGGCTGCCGTGGCACAGCGGCCCGCCTCCTGCGTCCGCGGGATGAGTGCCGCGGAAGAGGATCTGGAAGTATCGTTTCCGGAGGATACATCGGGCAGCTTGCTGAACGGTTTGCGCGCATCCGGGCTAAGGTGTTGGCATGACCCTGGGCGGACTGCTCGCCACAGGCTTTGCCGCACTGCACCGCGGCCTACAAGTCAAACTAATTATTGTAATCGCTTCAAGGATTAGTCATTTGATGTCATCTGTAATCATCTGACTTGCAGTGCTGCAGGGGTCGAGGTCTTTGTTGTAGATGTCTTGCAATTAACAAGTGATTCTGGAGCCACCTGTGTATGGACCGGTCAATTCAGGCAGCTCGCTGGCTGTCAGCAGGCGGGTCCCGCATTTCACAGACTCATTAACCATCTTGCTTGCTGCTTCAATTTGTCGCCACCAGGGGTCGCCAAGATTTAGCCCTGCAGTCTTCTTCGTCCTGGCTGCTGTTATCCAGGACGGGTGGCAACCTCTTGCTTGCGCAAATAAGTCGTTGTTGCTGTGCCCAAGGCCGGACAAGGTGCAGCTTTCACCGCAAGAAGCTGTGGCCAGGGAAGCCAGAATGGCCACGCAACAAACGGCAACGGTGCGCCCAGTGCTTCATGCAAAGGATCGAGTTTTGGTATGGTATCTGCCTTCAGTGCTTCTTTCGTCGCGTGCTCTCAACCGCTCGTTGCCGTTCTTGGATTTTGCGGGGAGATGACTAGTAGGTACGGCCGCTTCTGATTGCGAAACTTCGAAGCCGCCTATGCCAAGGATTGCGGCTTGGCTCCAGGACCCACAGGTTAAGAGGTTAGTACAATTTAGCAGACCCACTCCGGCCCACTCTTCGGGTTATAAGGTGCTATTGATCTTACGTTGGCGCTGTGTAATCGAGTTCTTAGAACTGGCCTTGCTCCGTGTCTATGCATCTTTCTTTCAGAGATAGAAGGTCTTTCTGGGTGTCTCACATGGTCTTGAACCTTCCCATCCTCCATCATCGTCATTCCCACAACCAAGGCGAAATTCTTGATGGCTGGTTGCTTCCTGGTTTATGCCACCACCTACACCATGCCCACGCTGATGCCCTTTATGGCGTCGGCCTCAGCATTTTCACGGGCCCTGTCAAAAGAATCCATTGAACTATGCTCCAGCAGCCGCTTTGGTCATTGCTCATGCTAAACGGAAGCGATTCTCTGTTAAAGGCATAGGCGGGCATGAAAAACAACCAGTAAGTTCGCGACACCGAACCTCAGGCATTTGGGGAGGCTTCTGCTGTAATCGTCTCCCACAACCTTGGAATCCCAAAACAAAGGCTGCTGCCTGTGGCAAACAAAGCTACATGACACGCTGGTCCAGGCCGGCCATTTCACCAGCGCCACCGCCTCCTGGCAGAAATTGGCATGTGCCGAAATGACTGTCTCCGTAAAGTATCTATGCAAACAGGGTTGTCTTAGTTTCGGACATTCGCAGCACACCCGCCCGAAGAGGCCGACGTCAAGCGTACACTTAAGTTTAAGTAGAGTGTGGCCCAGATGGCATTTTGCCCGAGCCGCATGCTGATCCTTCAGGCACCACCAAGCGCACCGCTGAACGCATTTACCCAAGTCAGCGTGGAAGTTGCCTCACAGCCTAGTGGTGGCTTCCTAGACCTGTCTAATGCTTGGGCTAATTATATATGGGCCTGAACAGCATCCCCCGGTCTTGAGACGCGCGGTGAGGCAGTCCCCAGGCATATATACAGCCGTACTCCATCATTCCCCCCCCCTATCTCCTGTTTCCGG